TTCGAGCCATGTATGTATAGGAAATACGTATGTATGAAAGCCGCGGAGAGCAGCAAAAAGAAAATAAAGTAATATCACGAGATACTGGTTAATAACAGAAAGGAAACGGATTGCGAAAGAATAGCTTTTTTCCCGCAAGTATATTTGTGTTTTCTGTTGTGATTGTAGATGATCAAAGTTGCTGTTTTGCTGTTGATGACGACGTTGAGGATGAAGATGTCCTTAATAGGGGGGTGGTTGGAGGTACAGAAGTGCCAAAGGGAGGGAAAGCAGGAAAAAAAGGAAACAGAAAAGGAGAGGTTGGAGAAATACGCGATTTATATTGCCAAGAAAGTTGACGGGGAAAGCTTGTGGTCACGTGTGTGTGTGCAGGTGACTACCAAGGTAAGTACCTAGTAGGCGGCGGAAACTCCCAGGTACATACACCACAGCGGAGGAGTGAAAGAGGAAGACAGATGATTGGCTAAGAATGAATGAGAGGAGAGGGATCAAAATCGGCGGAACAAAAGGTGAGGCGGAGAATCCCGCTGGAAACCAGATAAGAACAGCGCAAAGAAACCCGTGGATGCCGGGATCGGGGAGAGGTGAGGGAACTCAGGTTGAAGGGGACGTGCGCGTTAACGTGGGTATTGTGGCAAGTTTCAAAGGTGCAACAAAAATTATGACGCCCTCGGAAAATCCAGGGCAGCGGAAAGGCAAGAATAATACTGTGGGGAAGGAATACAGTCACAAGAAGTAATCATAGTCATCCATCAATATGCTGTTTGGGTCGAAATACAGGCAGTAGCCGGTGGCAATAAGGGAGAGAGGAGGGAGAATAATACGAACAGGATTGCTAGGCTGACAACCGTAGTGGTGGTCGCAGGCCGCCGTGGAGATAAAACCAGGAGTGAGATTCCAGGGTTGCTGTTGGGTGGCGACGCTGGGGGGAGGCGGAGTGAGGCGGAGTGAGGCGGAGGGAGTCCGTGGCGATGGGCGACAAGTGCGTGACCAGAAGACGCGAGGCGAGGCGAGGCAAGCGAAAAGAGAGACAGAGGAAACAGAGGGGGGGTGCTAGAATCCTTAAGTACGGGCAGACCGCTGGCTGCCAGTCCGTGCCAGGGAACCACAGCAGCCTGTCCCGCTAGCTTCGGATGACGCTGCTAAGGGCGGCGATCCATCCAGCTGGTATTCTGGCCGTGTTGATTGGCTGTTACGCGTCATGCCGGTCTTGGCTCGCTCGCTCATTGGTCCCAGCTTCCTGCCCTTTCCGAATCAAACGCTCTCCATCCCTGTCGATATACTGTAATTTTATCAGTATTTTTCTGTTTTTGGTATTTCTCCACTTTCTTCCTGCCTGTTTGTTCTGGGTCTTAGCGGCATTCTGCGTAATTATGCCACCATACGGCCATCTCGAGGCATAACCGAATTTTACAAGACTTGCCACAGCCACAAAGCTCATTTTATCAGGTCAAAGCTTGCAAGGAATTCAAACAGCTTGATGCGACGTCTGTACGATGGCTGTATTCGCGTATTGATTGCTGAATACAATACATGCAATCCCATTCCCATATACCTCCCATATATATAGCATACAGCTGTCCTTTTTTTTTTTTTTTTTTTTTTTTTTTTCCAGTTCAGTACTTCCAGGGCTTAACCCTGATGCTTCTCCGTTCTTGGACAGTGTGGCTTGCTGACGGTGTAAAATTGTTGCCAAATTCGGATTCGTGCCCCCACGAGTGCCGAGGCAGACTAATTGTGCTTAACTAATACTTAAACAGACGGATGAACTTGGACCGAGATTGGGCTCCTTTAAATGGCCTAAAATAGTTAGTTAACTATCTAAGTTATCTAACAACCAGCCCCTGGAGGGTTGGACGCAAATTCAGAGGCTCAGAAACTATTATCCGAGCAACGAACTAGCAAGATACAATTCTATCTCATATACTCCGTATAAACATTGAAATGGCTTTGTAGGATTTCGGGAAGTCAACGAGCAATTCCCCAACGTCAAGAATCATCCAGATCTATCAAGGATGATCCAAACTCTTCTTTCACTGAGATATTTATTCCCCCCCCC